GGATGACAAGGCCTGAAGAGTTACAGGAATTGACACTAGGAGACCTTAGATGACTTTCTGGGGGTTGTCACGTCTCTCGCGTAGCACCAAAATATGTACAGGAAACAATTTTCAGTATGATGCTACTGCTCGTGGTTTACTCTCCATCGTGTCGGTTTCTGCAGAACTATCCGTTTTTTTTTTTTTTTTTACAAAGCTTACTTCCCCTTTGCAATCAATTTTTAATGTATTAAAAACTTTTGACTTCAGTGATTTGATTAATCAGCTAGGTTAATTAGGAAAGTTTTCAGAGACATTAGCTCCAACCTACATTTCACCATGGTGGAGGGCAGAAGTTAAAGGCGAGTCTGGTTTAATGCCATGATCTCTCCAGTGCTGTGCCTGTGTTCTCCTAGTTGGGTAATTCTTCAGTTTCATCTTTTCCATCTATTCACCTGTTATCCCTTTTCCTCTGATAGTTTGCTGCTGCTTTTTCCTTCCTTTTCTCTTTTATTCCTCTGTCTTGCCCTTCTAATCTGTTTTAGTGCTGTCTTTCTTCACCTCATTATGCCATTTCCTTTCTTTTTCTTTTTGCCTTCTGTCTCTCCATTGGTTCTCTTCTCACTCTCTTAACCTCCTGTTATCTATGGGCCAACCTACTTCCCACCCATCATCTTGTTTCTCTCTTTTATCTTTCCTCCTTTTTCTCTACTCCTCAGCACCTCTCAACAATAAAAGTTAGTCATGGATTGTGGGGGAAGCATCTGGTCCCTGCTGGCTCTCATTCTCTCTCCTTTGTTGTGAATGCTCTTTTGTTATAATCAAGACAAACAGAAAAGCACAAAATCATCTCTTAAGGCAAACACTGCATAATAATCCTCCTTGTCCCCGCTCCTCTTATCTCTGAAGAATTTGTTCTTCAGGCAAAATAATAAGAAACATGAGAAAGGATTTACTAAACTTGGAGGGGAAAGAGAGAGACTGCAAAGAGCTTCATAGTATGGGACAGTAATGCTGAACTGAAAGCTGGGCAAATAAGACAAAGTAACAAGTGTAAGTTGAGATATAGCTTGCCAGGAGCTTGGGCAGCAGAGTGATAACCCTGTTGATCAGTCTCTGTTCCCATTAGGTTGTGCAGGCATGGACAGGATTAAAAAAAATATTATTTTTTCAAACACCCAATTTCTTGTGCTTTCTATTCATTTGTCCCTTGACCCAAGGCCTTCTATATATGAAATGTGTTTGCCAGACAACTGTACCTGTTGGAGCTCCAGTGACATTCTCAAAAAGCCACAGCAAGGTGTTTCTGTGGGGTCACATGCCAGCTCCAGTCTCTGAGGTAAATTAATATAAGAATAGGCTTGCCCATTGTTGGGGCTCTTGCTTAATGTTAAATAGATATTCTCAGATTAAAACAGCTTTCCTCAGAAAATGTGAGTTCCCTGGAAATGAAATGTTAGTTAGTATGGACTAGTTTAGACACACAAATGTTCTCAAAGCTAAAAAGAGAGATCTTGTTAAGCAAAAGGATGAGCTTTTCCCAATTCCCGTAGCTACATGGTTAGAATACTGATTTTTAGTGTGGGGCAGCCAGCATCAAGTTCTACCTGTGGCTGGTTCTGCCTGGCCCTTCCCTTAGAAATCTTGTATCTGGCTGGCCACTGGCAACCTGCTGTGGGCCTCCGTAGTAGTGCAGTTAATGCACTTTGCATAATACACAAGTATTATATTCACAAAAAGGACTAGGTGGATAGTTTTACTTGGTGCAGTATCAGATAGCGCTGCTAAGGAGGGATCAAGGTACTTCCCCCAACTTCAGAATCTTCAGAAGAATTATCTGGGATGTGGGAGGTAGGTGTGTGTCCTAGGACAGAAACAAAACTGATATTTATGAGGAACAGGCTGTGATGCAAGCTTCAAATCTAAATATTTGAGCATCAGCAGATGAATTCAGACTAGAGCAAAACTCACTGAAATGGGAGGGTGGGATATTTTCCCCATGTTCCTTAGGGAAATTCAGATTTTGGTGATGCATTTTGACCTCGTGTCTCTTTCTTACTGCTGTTTACTCCACCAGCTCTGTGAAGATAAAGAAGTGTCACTCACTGTGTTCTGCAACATGTGTTAGGGATTTAATTTTCAACTAAAATCTTACTGCTTCTAAATTGGACTGGTAGCTGTGTATGTATTTAATCTAATGTTGAAGTTTGTATGGCTCAGCACTTGCAGTAGTCATGTGGGTCAAGAATAAACAAGGAATGAGGCCATGTCAGAAGAATGCTTTACGCAGTCTGAAGATTGCCTCTGAAATTTGGATATGCTTAAGAACCTCCCCAAATATGGGAACTTCCTACACTTACCAGTAAATGAGTTTTTCCAGAGCTAAGGCCAAAGTTTGAGACAGCTGAGTGATCGGATTCAAGGTGGAGTGTGGTATGCTTGCAACCAAATGGAAGATAAGCTAGGAAAAAGAAAAATAAATGTGAGCCAAGATTAGTCAAACAAAGAGTGTTAGGGAATTAGAGTTGGATCCAGCAGCCTGACAGAGGCAAGGCTGCCACGGCTCCTCTCTCCTGGGTGCAACCAGTAGCAAGGCTGAGCATGTATTCCCCATAGGCCTATGCATAAAAACACACATATACACCACATACATAAGTACACATATATACATGGCTGCGACACAGATACAGACAGACACACAGAGCATTTACACAAATGCAAACAGCACCAATGGCCTCATCCTGTTCCTCTCTCAGACTGAGCAGGATGGAAGTCCAATAGTGGGAAATATAGATATACATAAAAATATACATATATACATGTACACAGATCTATATGTGTGTATAAGGTAGATCCTTCTAGAAGCTGGGTTCAGACACTCAATCTGCTCCCAGATCCCAGTCACCTCAGTTGCTGGCACCTGGGCATATGAGACCCCAAAGCCCTACTCCCGTTGCTGGTATAGACCCCATCACTCACACACGTACACAAGCACATGCACATACACAGCTGGCCAGGATTCCCCTGGTCCCTGCAGTAGCCAACCTGCCATGGCCATGGCCTCTCTCTTAGAGACACAGACAACAGTGGGTCTCACCCCTATAGACCCCCAGACCTCATAGTTTCTCTGGCAGCTGGCTGGGACTGTCCTGGTCCCTCCAATAGGCAGCTCCTCCCTTACAGGCACCTCCTGGCTGAGGCCACTTCACCCACTTGCCAGTTGGTCTGGCTGGATCTTTGCTAGTGCTCACACCCTCACCTGCACACCTGCACTCACTGTACCACGGGCACATGGGCCCCTGTGACCTGGCACTCAGACCCCCATACGCACCCCATCACCCATCCAATTAGCATGCCTCACCCAGGAAAAGAGTTAGAAGTAGAATTTAATAGCCAGATAAGGCAAACTGCGCTAACCAAGTGCAGCGCAAGGCTGGACACATGTACTGGCCAGCTAACAGTTTACATGCAACCAGTTTTCCCCTCATCTCTTAATTTCCCCTCTGATTCCTTCCCTAAACATTCGGTAGTAAGTCCTGTGCAATCCCAAAATGCTCTCCCCCAGCACCCTGTCCTGTGTCCACTGCCCCTGCACGCAGCACACACATCCCCTCCTCCAGGCTGAAAGGTGCTCCAGCCCTTGGCTCTTCCTGATGGGTTTCACACTTGGACAATTGGGCTGATGAGGGGCAGGCCCAGGCAGGGAGCCCCTTCCTCTGAGTCTTTAATTTGGGTTGCCACCCGGCATTGTGCCCCTGTGCTCCTGTGGCCATGTGAAAATGGGACCTTTGATGTGCTGATGGCTCCTGTGATGGGCCTGGGAGTAGCTGGAGCAGGTTGTTATTTGGGGTCCTCCTCCCACCATTGTCTCTCTGTGCTCCTTTGTGGGAGTTTGGAGGAGCTTTTATCACATAACCTGAGAGGACCGTGCAGGCATCCCTTGCCCTTTTACACTACTCTTACTGTTTGGAATAATATTTAACAACAAATATAGAAATACACATGAAGTCAGTAAGGGAATGTGTCACCCTATTTGTTCTGTTAATTTCCAGTTATGTGTGGTCCAAATGTGACCAAATGTGGGGTCAATATGTCACCATGCCAAATAAACAGCAGAAGTGAAATTAAAATGTGCTTGTTCTAGTTCTCCGGAATCTGGTGATCGCTGGTTCCAAGATCATTTTCCTAACAACTGAAAGATGGCATAAGTCAGCTTTGTCTCCTTGCCCTCAGCCCTCGCTCTGAGCTGCTGCAGTATTCTGGAATCAAAATGCTTGGCAGATTCTTAATTCAGTTAAGACTTTTATTGTTTGACAGCGGTTTTGCATGAGATTCAAAGCACAGCTCTTCAGTACTGTGCTGGAAGTTTGGCAATTGTTTGACCTGGAGGATGGACAGCAGATGAATACGAAGCACAGTAGAGCAGTTGTATTGAAGTGGTACAAATTTGGGACCAAAAGCAGTTGCAGCATAACGACTTCAGTTTTGCCCTCGTAATTATAGCCTTGTAGAAAAAAAAAATAAAAAGAAAACAATCAATCAAACAAAGGATCTCCCCCAAACCAGTTACCCAGAACTGTGCCTCATCCACAGCTTTGGGAGGAGGGACGAGCATCCCCAGAGCACAGCACTGGCCTTCAGGCTTCTGCCCGTGCCCGTCGCTGCCGGCCTCGCCCTTTTTCATCACGGCACGTCGCGCAGCTCCTCCGGTGCAGGTCCCCGGGGACCCAGCAGTCGCTGACACCGAGAGCGGGGCCCAACCCCTCCCGGGCGCCCTGCGGGCCCGCGGGCCGCCGCTCTCCATGGCCGCCCGGCGGCGCGGCACGCACGCCGGCGGAAGGGCCGCTGATGTCACTTCTGAAGTCAGAAAGTGGCGTGAGCCCAGAGGACCGGGTTGGTTTGGGTTTGGTGTTTTTTTGTTTTTTTTCTTTTTTTTTTTTTTTTCGTAATTACGGGATGCCGGGGAGCTCCTCCCCGGTCCCTCCCACTAGCCCCCCCCCTCCCCTACAGAGGCCATAAATCCGCGGGCTTCAGCGGGGAGGGGGCGTGGGCTCGCGCGGTCGCGGTCTGGGGGCGGAGCCGCCGCCTCCTCGCGGATTCCGTTAGGTGCGAGCGCGGCAGCCGTTGGCCGTTCCTAGTCGCTCGTTCGTCCGCCGGCGGCGATGGATGCGAAGAAGGTGGGCAGGGAGCGCGGCGAGCGGTGCTGCGGCCGGCGGGCAGCCGCCGCTCGGTCCCCGGGCGCCTCGGCGGGCGGGGGGGGGGGGGGGGAGTGGTCGCAACCGGTGGGTGGTCGGGATTCATCGTCGCCTCGTCATCCGCCGGCGGGTGTCCGCTGGCCGTAGCGGGATGGGTGCAGACCGCTGCCGCCGGCCTCGGGCGGGCGGCTCGGGAAGGGCCCCCTTTGCGGTGGGGGAGAGGGGGGGGCGGCACGCTCTTCGGGAGGGGTGGTTGCAGATGGCGAGGTTGATCTGTTTGCGTGCCTGTGGCCTGATGATCCCCGTGGTGCTATCCGTACTTTATTGTATTGATCACGAGGTTTAGCTTGCTGGCAGGGCAGCGTTTGTTTGTCCCAGGGTTCGTGGTGTTAAAAGGGGGATTGCTCCTAAAGTAATTTTGTGTGTGTGTGCGTGTGTGTATGTGGTGGTGGTATGGGTTATAATAAAGAGTTGTAGTTTTTTTTTTTTTGTTGTTTTGTTTTTTTTTTTTTTTATTATTATTATCATTATTTTATTTATTATTTTTTATTATTTTATTTTATAGAAGAAAGCAAATCATATTCTTTACCTCTTTCTCTTTTGGAGAGCCTTTCTCGGTGTCGTAATTCATCTGCAGCTACGAGTGAGGCGTGCGCCAGTGGAGTGAGCTAATGACTGCGTGTTTGAGTGCATGAGGGGAGAAAAGCAGGCAGGCGTGAGGAAAGGGAGATGCCAGATACCCGGCTGATCTCGGTGCGGGATGGCAGGGGATTACAGTTCACGCAGGAACAGCAGAATCGGGGAAGACCGGGGCCCTCACCGCCATATTGGTGGGGGGATGCGGGTAGCGTGAGAAGATGAGGCGGAGGAAGGGAAAGCATCTGGTCCTGGTCGCTCAGGGGAGGGCTGGGAGGCCTCTTCAGCGAGACTGAACGGTTTGTACTGCTCTGAGGTTCCAGGCAGTGAAGAAGAGGGGGGCTGGTGAGAAAGCATCTCCTGGATAATGAATGCAGCTGATGCCTGTGGTCGGAGGGAGGGGTGGTGGTTTGAATTCCTTGCTGGTGTATAGACCTTGGCCTTGAGGCTTTGGGTCGAGCGGGTGTACCTCTACCATTTCTGGGCTCCCTGTTTGCCTTTTGGGAAGTGAGGCACTTCCAGCAGTAACAAGTGATCCACACTTTAGATCAGTCCGGCTCACTGGAGGGGGTGTGTCAGGCCCAGTCATCTCTAGGGGGTAGGAGCCTGGGTAGGAGATGAATAGCAGGCAACAGCCAGAAGAGAGTATGAAAGAGGGTAGAACTAAGCTCATTATAGCTTATGTCTGTATCATGTAGGTAAGGGGCTAATTACAAAGCAGGTACCCTGTGGTGCCAGTTCACCCAGAAGAAAAAGGCCAGCTGTGACCACCACAAGCCATAACAAAGCAGGGCCCTGAGGGGAAAGCTACTCTACTCTTGTGGTGACTCCTTGTGTTGAAGATGTGAAGAACTGTGTTTTGTCCTTAGCTTTGTTATACCTGCTGACTGGGGATGACCTGGCCTGGAGTCCTAAAAGTGCTTAGGTGTCATTTACAGGTGCTTTGAAAGAGCAGTGTCCTTGTGGTTCTGTGCCAAATTTCCTTGCAACAAAAATGAGAGGAGTGGTCACTGGGTGGCAGGGAGAAGGCAGCCTAGACTGCTTATGGCGTGTTCACATATGAATGCTACCTCAGGAATCATCTGCCCCCAGCAAGAGAAGGACCTTGTCCCCTTTGTCTCCATCGCTAACCTTGGCAGGAAGAGAGCTTAGACATGGTGTAGGTGGGGGAAACCATGCCCGAGAGTAATTTCCCCGGTTTCTGTTTACTGGGGCCTGATAGCTGTGTGAGGTTGTGCAGGCCAGAAGCACCTATATGTTTGGCTTGAAAGATTGGAAAAAGTGCCATGAACACTGGCAAAAGGTTATGGGCAAAAATTTTGGGCAGCCTTCGGAGGCACTGCTCCTGGAGCTGAGCTGAAAATTGAAAGACTGGGAGAGCTGTGACAATAAGCCCCATTAAGTACTTTTCTCTCCACTGCCAGCCTTAGGACAATAATTGGTAAGCCTTGGAAGAATGGACTGTTAATATTTTTGGAAAAGCTTCCAATCCTGCCTGAGTCAGAAACACGATCTTTCCAAATTGTGCAACTCAAGTACTGGCAGTCTAAGTGCCAACTCATGAGTCACCTGCTCCCCCATGCCTCCCTAGCATGGAGCTGGCTTAAATGTCACAAGCTTTAAAAACATAGAAGATGTCAGATGCTTTTCACTGACACATTTCTCAGTCTGTGGGACTTCTGAGGTTGGACCTTCAAGCTTCCTTTATGGCTCCGAGGGCTCAGCAGTTTTTATTTTAGTTTAATAACTAGAGATTAACATATAGTCAAATTCTAGGGACTGTGCTTCATTTAAAATTCCAAGTATTGCCACAGCTTCAAGAAAAATAAACTGGAAGGTTGGCAGCACTGTTGCTGCAGAGGCTGCTGTGCCAGGTGCCCTGAGGCAGGGTTGGGAAGCTCCATCCTGGGAAAAACAGGCCTGTTGCTGAAGAGTGCATGTTTTAACTGTTAGAAGTGACTGCCAGTATAGCTCGTGGGCAGATCTGAGACTCAATTTATGGGAACTTGTCAGTTTTCAAGGGGAAGAATTAGACCCTTGTTTCATGACATGCCAGAGATCAGCAAAAACTTTTCTGTAAAGCAGATCAATCAAAAATAACAGCCAGTGTATTCATTACTAATGAGCTGAGAATACTTGATGAAGATCAGGAGGTAATAAAGGGGAGATCCTGATAGGCCCTCCCAGTCACAGAACTTTTTTCCTGCTGTATAATTGCATTTCCCTTTCCAGGGTCAGTGTTATTGGTACCCACCCTTGCTGCATAAAAGTCCATTCCCTGCCCTCGGCACACTTGCACGTGGCACCTATGAGCTTCAGCTGCTGTTTATGCTTGAAGAGAAACTCAAGTTGTATAGAAAGCGTGAATTATCAAATCAACTAATTGTTTTCTTTCTCTTTCCACAGAAAATCACAGTGCCCCTTATCTATGCTGTTTCCATTGCTGCCATTGGATCTCTCCAGTTTGGGTACAACACTGGTGTCATCAATGCTCCTGAGAAGGTGAGACAAGAGAATGAATTGGGGAGATGGTATGAGTGAGTGAGGGACTGATAGGAAAATGAACGCATAGAAAGGACAGGAGATGTCTCCCAGGCAGCTGCTAACTTGGTTCTGTTTTATGAAGTCAAGAAGACATTCAAAAGCCCTTCAACTACAGCAGGGCAGGACAGGCAAAGTTTTGGGGAGGAGAGAGAGCAAGTGGAGAGGTTAATTCTCTTAATTAGGAGTGCAGGGGGGGCAGTAGGGCTCCATCTGCCATTTTCTGGTAGGTCTGTATTTGGTGGGTGGAAGAATGTGAGCTACTTCAATTTTGAGTCAGAATAAACCAGCTGTGGCAGAAGGAACATAGAAAGCAGTGTGCAGAAAACAGTTGAGGGTTTGTAGGAATTAGTTGCTCTAGTTTAGTTTATCTCAGGGACCATCTCGGGTTTCTTTATTTGTTTACTCATTCCTTGTGTTAAGTGTAGATTCAGTGCTTGTAAAAGGGTTGTGATGGAGGCACTCTGATCAAATCATCTCGTGACTGTAGCCTAAGAAGAGATGAAGAAAATGAGAAATGTGGGGTTTTTTTGTAACTATAAGATGGTTCCTCTCTCTCAGGAACTGACTCACCAATACCACATCCACACTGTCTCCCGGAATAGATGTCACATCATGGGGGTGGGGTGATGTGGTATGAGCTGTGGGTGTGTGGTTCTCCCTAGCTAATGTCCTGCTGCCATCTGCTGGGGGCAAACACTGGGAGGCCATGTCCCCCTTGGCCCTTGCAGAATTTCCCTCATTATCAAAGAGGATGTCTTGGAAATTGGCAACACAGACATGTCACATCCCCATGGGACAAGGAGGGATTGTCTTACATAGCAGTGCAGTTTTTCCGGCTCACCCCAGTGAAACTTTATGTGCCTCATAAACAAACTATTTCCATCCCAGAAATCCTGTCCCTGCTGTCAAGAGTTCTGGTATTGCCAGAAATGTTTTCTTCCACTCTCTGGTCATGTTTTCTTGCTCTCTCTCAGCTGTCTCACAGCCCCTCTCAGGCACCACCAGTGACTCACATCGTCCAGAAACATTCAGAAGATAAGCCTGCTTTCCTTAATAAACACTGGCTCACACACCCCCACCACCCCCCCGACATTCAGTGAAGCAATCTCTCACTCATCATACTGCTACCCATCTACTGAGCTTCTCAATGAAAGTTCCTCTTTCTGCACCCTCATCTTCCCCTTGTATAATTTGTTGCTGCCTACTGTATTTTTAGGGTCTATCCTTGCTTCTTGCCTCCATGAAAACACAATGAAGACCTCAAAAGTAATCTCCCCTCTTCCCAGTGCAAATTGCCTCCCACTGGATGGTAACTCTGTCCCTGCCTGGTTTCTCTTGCAGATCATCCAGAAGTTCTTCAACAGAACCCTGTCAGAACGGAGTGGGAAGGCTGTCTCTCCAGAGCTCCTCACCTATCTGTGGTCCCTTTCTGTGTCCATCTTCTCAGTAGGAGGTATGATTGGCTCCTTCTCAGTCAGCCTGTTCGTCAACAGATTTGGCAGGTAAGTTGGGAAGAGGGATCCAAGCCATTAGGGAATTTTTCCCTTCTACAATGGAGTGTTGGGAGGAAGAGGGCGCAGGTGAGAGGGAGGAGGAGGAAGCTGAGGAGGAAGCAAGAATGTGAGGGCTGCAAAAAGAAAAGAAGGGGTTGCTGCTGAAAGAAAGCAAGAGGTGAACAGGAATTATTCTGTTCTGCCTCTGAGACTGAGGGGTCATGGGTAGATTTATCTCCAATGATTTTCCCACTGTATTGCCAGTTTAAGCTCAGCCTTGACATCTTTATTTCTTTACTCTGTCAGGAGGAACTCCATGCTACTGGTGAACATCTTGGCCTTTGCTGGTGGCGCTCTCATGGCCTTCTCTAAGATGGCAAAGGCAGTGGAGATGCTGATTATTGGACGCTTCGTTATTGGCCTCTTCTGTGGTCTCTGCACTGGTTTTGTGCCCATGTACATCAGCGAGGTCTCACCCACGAGTGTTCGTGGAGCCTTTGGCACCCTCAACCAGCTGGGCATTGTTGTGGGCATCCTGGTGGCCCAGGTAGGCTTGGCACAACCTGATCCTGCCCTCAGGGGAAAGGAGGGTTGTGGGAGGGCACGGTGGGCCACATTTGCCATCAGGTGCAGTATGTAGTCCTGTCATACTCACCAGTGGGGGGGTAAAGAGCTAGAGTATTTAAATCACACTGTTTCTCACTATTTCTTGATGTAGATCTTTGGCCTGGAGGGGATCATGGGAACTGAAGCACTTTGGCCACTGCTTTTGGGATTCACGGTCCTCCCAGCAATCCTGCAGTGTGTGGCTCTTCTTTTCTGCCCTGAGAGCCCCCGTTTCCTATTGATCAACAAGATGGAGGAAGAGAAAGCTCAGGCAGGTAAGAAGTTATCTCTGAAGGGGCAGGGCTGTATTCTGGCTCCCAGCCTGCACTGAACTTGAGTGGGAGGCCAGGACTGACTGCAGTTTGTGGTGGATTAGGGTGTGACTCCCAGAGGGCACCAGCCCTACCCTCCCAGCCTTTAGATTGCACCAGTGCTAGGAAGTGTGAGAAACCTAGCATCCCAACAGAGGCTCTAGGTGGGATTAGGATAGGAGGAGTGGCACCTGGCCTGGTGGGATGTAGCATAGCCAGCTGCAGCTCTGTCAACTCCTCCTAAAAAGCAGGAGATAGGCTGACATTTAACAAGGAGCTTGGAGGGTGTTTCCCTCTCCTACTGCAGAGGGCTGGAGTCAGCTCTGGCAAACATGTGAACAGAATTAGGGATCAAATGTAAGTTTGGAGATCAAACAACAGGAGCAGGACCTGGGCCTGTTTCTATGCTGATGACAGCATGGCAACCTCTGGGTTGAAAATATGAGCAAGGCTGCATGTGGAGGCTTGTTCTTTCCCATGTAGCAGGCTCAGTTACACCAACTGGCATGTGGTCCAGTCTTTCCAGTGTGCCTCCCTGAAATAGTCGGGGGGTGGGGTGGGAGTGGGGGTGCAGGGAAGGAAAGGGGGGAACCTACTGGCCATGGGTGTACTATACCTGGCATTTTTTGAATTCCTTCCTCCAGTTCTCCAGAAACTTCGTGGTACACAAGATGTGTCTCAAGACATCCTGGAGATGAAAGAAGAGAGTGCTAAAATGTCCCAGGAAAAGAAGGCAACTGTGCCAGAACTCTTCCGTTCTCCAAACTACCGTCAAGCTATTATCATTGCCATCATGCTGCAGCTTTCCCAACAGCTCTCGGGCATCAATGCTGTAAGTTATCTTCCTGTCCCACCTTATCACTGGTTACACTTGTACTTGCCACTGAGAGAATTGTGCTTCCAAAAACATCCTCGCCCCTTCACTAGAAGTCACTGTTTTGTGATGCTGCAGACATTACTAAAATGGAAGGTGGAGATTATATTTGCTTTCACTTTCCCCCTATACCCTGGCAAGACATTGCAACCTTGCACCAAGTGAATAAACCTTGACTGGAAGCGTGCTGTTTTATACTGTTGAATGCTTCTTAGAACCTTCCTGTTGGGCCTGCAAGCCATTAGGCAGAGAATGAGGGACATGTTCTCAAGCACTCGAATCATAATGTGCAACTTTTGCTTCTCTTGCCAGGTATTCTATTATTCTACAGGGATTTTTGAAAGAGCTGGTATCACACAGCCTGTGTATGCCACTATTGGAGCTGGAGTGGTAAACACTGTCTTCACTGTTGTGTCGGTAAGTGGAACAGGGCCTTACAGTGAGAGATAATTTGTCTGCCTAGGCTTTTTCAAGAGATGTGACTGAAGACAAGTAGCCAAGCTGTGGCCTATGAGAGCAAAGAAAAGAATGCATTATGGGAGGAGGGGAGGGGACAAGGAAGTATTGTTATGCTTTTGGAAGTAAGGGAGGGTGAAGCGTGCATGGGGGTGGGAAAAGAATGATGAAAGAAGGCAGTAGCGGGAACCAGAGAGGAAAAACTTGTGACAAGGATGGAGGAGCCTGATGACCTGTACTGATATCACCACTAGCACTGAGGGCTACAGATAGGTTAAAAAGGAGATGCGGGGTACACTGAGCAAAGGAGCCTCTTCTGCTCTTGAGGCCAATGCCACTAATTTTTTTTTTTTTTTTTTCTCCTCCTGCCATGTTTCCAGCTGTTCCTGGTGGAGCGTGCAGGGCGCAGGACCCTTCATTTAGTTGGTTTGGGTGGCATGGCAGTGTGTGCTGTTCTTATAACTGTTGCTTTAGCTCTGAAGGTGAGTAATTAGTGTTCTTGTGCAGACTGACCCCAGCAGGGGACCCATAGGACTGTACATCTGCTTTGCCCTGTAATTCTGCCCTTTAGGCAGGTACAGCTGGGGCTAGCAGTGTTCTCAGTGCAGCTGAGAAAGCTGTGACACTGGAGATGGCATTGTGCTGTGCCATGTTTCCCTCAGATTGCAGCTGATCATGTTTTGTTTCCTCGCAGGACATTGTGGAGTGGATCAAATACATCAGCATTGTTGCCACTTTTGGCTTTGTGGCACTTTTTGAGATTGGCCCTGGCCCTATCCCATGGTTCATCGTGGCAGAACTCTTCAGCCAGGGCCCACGACCTGCAGCCATGGCAGTGGCTGGTTGTTCTAACTGGACTTCAAACTTCTTGGTGGGAATGCTCTTCCCGTATGCAGAGGTAAGGTACCCAGTTTGCAAAACACTGGGAGTGCTTCAGCACTGGAATAGCTGTGTAGAGTAGTTGTAGAATCTCTATACTTGCAGGCTTCAAAACATGACTGTATGACCCTTAACAACCTGATCTTTCCTTAAAGTTGTCCCTGCTTTGAGCAGAGGGCTGGTCAGTCTTCCAGAGGTCCCTAAATCTGTGTTCTGATTGTTACTGAAGGGTAAGAGTGTTGTGGCTCACCTTATATTCTGCTGTCTTAACTGTCTGTAGCTTACAAATAGTTGGAAGAGCCATCTTAAGTAGTCCATCAAGGCTTTCCCTTTTAAAAGCCTCAATTTTGATCTCCCCCAGGACCATAAAGCATTTCAGAAGCCCACAACAACCTGATTTAATCTTAAAATGCTGTATTGAGAAAGTAAGGACATTGTTGGAGAAAGGTGTTAGAAATTTGACCTGTCAACAGCAAGTGACCTTGCAAATGACCTTGCATTTAGGCTTACGAGCTCTTCAAATTAAACCTCCTGCTTTTATCCTCCTTGCAGAAACTGTGTGGCTCCTATGTCTTCCTCATATTCCTTGTTTTCCTGGTCATCTTCTTTGTCTTCACATTCTTCAAAGTGCCGGAGACCAAGGGCAGGACTTTTGAAGACATCTCCAGGGGCTTTGAAGGACGAGCAGAAGCTAGCCCCACGTCCCCTGTAGAGAAGAACCCCATGGTGGAGCTGAACAGCATACAACCTGATAAAGAAGTTGCCTAAGATTCATGGCACACCCCTTCTCTGACTCTTACATGCTTAAAGAGTCATTAAAGGAATGAGCAAAGAAAACCATGAGAACTGGGACATTTTTTCCCCCCTCAATTGCTGCTATTTTATTCTTTGCGCCCACACATTCACCCATCCTGCCAGGCTTACCAGCATTAAGCAAATCTGATATGGGTGATCCCATTTTCAAGTACTGGAAGGCACCTGGCACTTGCAAAAATAGTCTCATCTTCCCTGTTACAAACATCAGAACAGAGAAGATCTGGCAGTATTTTTGCTTTTCTCACATATAACTGCTATTTGGGGTTAACATACTTATGCACGCAGTGACCGTTACACATTTGAATCTAATTACTATTTTTGTAGTGAGTTGAAGTGACCTGATAAACAAGTCCCCATCCCTATGAGTCTTCTCTGTGTGTGTGCAGTGTTACACTGGAATTTAACAAGCCTACCAAAAAGCCATCTCTTCACTTTTTCCTATCCAGTGTACACTTTTTTCAGCCTCAGGAAAAAGGGGACCAAGCTACATGCATATTTTTTTCCTGCTTTTATTTTTTTGTATAGACAGACTGAAAGCATACTTCTACTTAAGTTTATTTATTTGTATGTCACTTTGTAAATATTTATTTTTTTAATGGTGTACAAAAATGTACAGGTAATGAAATTGAAGATGTTTAAGAGAAATAACTATTCTAACAAGATGCTGTAGTCTTGAGGTGCAATAAGACTGTAAAGGAGAAATGTGGTACGAAGCAGGAGGTAAGGCATTTTGGATGGTGTGTACAACAGTTATGCACATCACCTTTAAGTTATTTGTGCCCTCTGGAAAGAAATTCAAAGAATTGCATACTAGTGAGATGTGTGTGTGTGTCCACCAAAATCTGTTTGGGGATTTTGTGGGTGGCAATTTTAAGTATTGTTCCCAAGTGTTGATTGGAAAGTGTGGTATTGCAGCAAATGGGTGTTGTTGGTTTATATTTTCAGTCGCGGTTAAGCATTGTATGGGATAACTGAGGGTGGTGATTTTACTTTTTGGTTTCTCTGATGTATTCGAGTAGGTCAAAGTCTGAAATTTGCAGCTGTTACTTAAGGGTGTGTAAGGATAAAAAGTATTTTCCAAAGTTGTATTTTCTTAGGAATTGTTCTTAGAAATATTAGACAGAGGCATGTAGCATGACCTTTTTTGGACTCAGGCCTGGTTGGTTATGTGAAAGTTCATAAAGCTAGAGATGCAGGACTAGAGATCAGAGTTACTGGAACTTAACTAGCTTAGCAGTGTGAAGGGTCTGTAGTGCTCGGTCCACTGGTTGGTTGCAGGCCAAATGTTTTTGCCCCATGGAAGATCTCTGCAGAAGATCTCTGGAAGATCTGCATGATGTGATGCTCACTAGTGTGCAGCATGCTGTATAGATGTGCACAGCTCTGTGGTAGTGCCCCTGTTGGAACGGATATGGCAGGTTGTAACTGTTCATCAGTAAATATTGGTCTCCCCACTTGTCATACTGCTAGGAAATCGAGAGTGTATATACACCTACCCTTGCTGCCAAGCTAGCACAGTTCAGTTGGACAAGGCAGAAAGTAGCACATATGGTATACTTAGAGTTAAGGGGTGGGAGCTTTGCTTCACTGCCTGCAGTGCTTTGTCAAGAGAGTCTAGGCCCGTGTCTGTCCAGACCTGCACATGCTATCAAAAGGTAGCACAGAGGTAGGTCCAATTTAAACCCCTCTAAGATCTGCTTTTTTGGACTTGATCAAACTCAGATCTACCTGCAAAACTCATGCTGGAGTTCATCACTGGATATCCTAGAAGAGAGGCAGGCCCTTAGTTTCCAAGGTGGGTAAGAAGAAGAAAGGCTCAGGAAGGCAGGAATGGCAGCACGTTCGCTGTAGCATGGATAGCCCAAGCTTTCTTGACAACATACTGCTTCAGAGCAGGTCAGAAGTTTACCATTGGTGTATATTCTGGGGGTGTGTATGTGGTGCTTTCAGTAACTAGAGTTATGACATTTCTACCTTCCCTAATGAGAAACAGTTGCAAAGATCAGTAAAATTTGCTGCTGTGAAATACACTTCCTGTGACTTAATTTGAAATACTCCAGCTTTGCACAATGCAATCCTCTTGCATCCAATTTTCCCTAGCTTTCTATCGGGCTTCTGTGCCAGATATGTATTCTCAGAAGTATTATATTTCCCAACTTTAATATTCTGGCTCAGTTATATAGATTTCTATGCCCTCTGACTCTGGCACTTCCAGACATCGTATTTCTCTATGGGCATCTATATGTTAGGAAAATTCCCCTACAGCTGTGCATAAGAGCATTCCATTTGTTGCTTCAGAGATGTGTGTTGGATTGGACTGAAATGTGTAGGTCTTTCTCACATAGTATCTCTTTATTTTCTTTTTCTGTAACAGCTTTGTGAATATTTTGGGTGGGTTTTATATGCTTATTAATGTGGTTGTTTCCTGTTTTTAAAATAAAAACTATAGAAATAAATATCTGGTTTGGATTTTATCTTTACCCGGTAGGTCTTCTGTTTTTTACTCCTTTATCACAGCCTGGGACTATATCCTGGAATGTCCCCCAACTTCTGCCCTGCAACCTTTCTGGGCAGCACAGCACCCTGGATTTGCTGTTTTATTCTAGTGTAAATAACCATTTCTCTCAGCCTCTGTGCATATCACCTTAATAAATTCCCTTACTAATTTTCCTTAGGAGTTTTTAAACTAAAAATATGTGCTTCTCTGGCTCTTGTTTGCCCAAATACTTTTGTTTGCATCCAAATCCTTTCCCAGTATTTCTAGGTAACAGGACGGGAGAGGGGAGTGGCTGGAGGTTAGGAATCCTGCCTGGAGCTAAAACGCCTGGGACTTTTGCCCCTGACCTCTTCTGAGAGTGGTCCTCAACTTCTCATTCGTGAAGCTGAAGAGGGAGCCCTTGCCCCTGCAAATGCTTTGCTCCCTCTGGCAAGTGCTGGTAATGTCCACCTTGGAAATCTTGCCTGTGTACTCTTGGTACCAGGTGCCTGAAAGGAGCGGGGTGGTGAAGATGAAACCCCAGTGTCTGGAGAGAAACCACTCCCTGTGAGCTGTTCCCTTACCCCAGGGACTGTGGCACTTCTGACCCACTGGCAGGTCTGTGGGGTTCTTCCACCCATGGATCTCCTGCCTAGGGACTACTGAGCACCCACTTATTGCCATGAGGCAACAAGTTCTTGTTGTGCAACAAGTTCTTGTAGTGCACCCATTTCCCTGACCTACAGCCATCTTACAAGCCCAAGGAGTATAACTGTTTCACAGCTGAGAACAGCTCATCAAAAAGGAGATAAAATATCCTTCAGAGGAAGAGGATGGAGGGAAGTGAGGAAGGAAAAGACAACCAGGAGTGGGGCAGCAACAGACTTGAAACTACTTAGAGAGGCTGGATATATCACAATGCATGGGACTGGATAGGATACATTTCAAGGGTGTTGTGACACATCTAAAGCTGCTGAAAGAATTGCCTGATGTGATTATGAGACTGCAGACTTTCATCTGCCATCCCCAGCAGCTGGAAGAAGGGTAACATTGTGCCCAACAGTACTGTAAGCAAACAGAATGACTTGGGGAATTCCAGACCAGCCATCCTTGCCTCAGTAGTACATCCTACTGGCACCCAGTGCCAAAATTGCGACTGACAATGTAATCAGGAAAGATTGATACTGGTTTACCAAGGGCAAACTGGCTGCCTTTTAGAATGAAAGGACTGGCTATATAGATTAGGGCAGAGTGGCTGATGTAATATGCTCTGACATGAATGACACTGCAGGTACTGTCTTGCACAGTGTACTCCTTTGGAAGGAGGGGGAGGGATGACAGCAAACCACTCCTCAGCATACTGGGAAATGGGAAGATGTAAAACATCCCAGTGGAGGTGAATGACTAGCTCTTCCTAATTCCATGCTGGTGTCCTGGCAACCCATCACAACCCTTCAACACTGACATGAGGTAGAATATATCAGAAACACTAAGCATAGTACCTACACCAGCTGATTGTACATTAAAATCTCCTGTAGCACTGAAGGTTGAACTGAAGTCAGAGGAAAAGCTAGATAGACTCAAGAAAGCTGTGACCAACTGAGCAAATATTAGCAGATTTACCCCCAACCTTTTAATGAGCAATATCTGGAAATAGAAGCAGCATCCCACAGCTGTTATCACTACATACTTCTGATGTTCTGCTGCTGTACATTCGATATATGTTGTTTTTCTTGAGCATGTAATTTGTAGAGATGCATTTGTCCATGAAACATTTGGCAGCTCCATAAGGCCAGAGAATATGTCAATGGAGAACTCGTAACCAGACATAGTATGAGCAAGAAAGGCTTCACACTAGCTTCAGCTCATACATAATGGTCATGGGCTGTTCTTTAAGAAAAATCCAACAGTGCATCTATCTAGGCACAAGCTGCTGGGCCACTAACCTGTTCTGGTACAGAGATGGCCATGGTGGGACAGCCAGCAGGATGCTTCAGTGTAGAAGGCAGGAACTAAGATAGCAGGCCATACAGGTTGACATGCATTTTTATGTGTACTGGGGTGTGGAATAGGCTAGAACAATACTAAAAGAGGTGGGTCAGACATTGTGCCAAGGGCAAAGTGCAGCATGCCAATATCTGCAGGTTAGGATGGATCTGAAATGGCTGGAGGTGGGACCCCATAGTAGCTACTGGTCTATTTTTTCACCCATGTGACATGGTGCTTCAGAGAATAAGGCATTGTTGTCTCTTTGCAGCCAAGCAGCCCTATGTTCAGATTTCTGTTTCAGTCCACTGAGAATGAGGAGCTGGCATTAAAGGCACAGACAGTAAATACGTAGAGGAAGGAGCTTATGGTTCCAAGTTCTAGGGTAATCAAGGTAGAATGGAAAGTCCCAGGTAGCAGGATTGTTTTGGAGGAACAGTTGACTTTAAAAGGCAAATAGGACGAAGGAAACAAAGCAGGGTGATGAAAGTCTTCTCCAGTGCTGAGGCCTCCCGACAGTTCACTCATAAAACCCCACCACATGTCTCTCTTAAGCTTCCCTTCCAAAGACACCATTTTTCTTCACGATCAGCAGAGACCTAGCTGATAAGAACTCATGTCCTGTCCCTCCTCACTCCCTGAGACACTGCTCCCTCTCTGCCCACGAAACGACTGGTTACACCACAGCCATCCACGGCATTAAACCCTAACAGTGCCCTGTTGGCACTAAGGCTGAGACGGATGATAACGGGCTACATGCAGCTTATCTTTGTGTCTTTCAGTGTGATTTATTCCTCTGTTGTTTCATTTACCTTCTCCAAGAGGACACTGGCACTTCTCAGTCTCCAGAGTTCTGTAAGAAAAGAGATAAAAACAGTTCTGAGCGTTTCATACCTGTCTCTCAAGGTTTCAGTGTGAATCAAGGTGGCAGACAGGGGGACATAATTTGAAATTGTTATTTCAAAAACTGGAAGAGCGGAAGTCTGATTTAAACACAGAAACATCTTCTATCCCAACTATGTTGGTCTGCACTTTTAATACCCTACCTTGGGCAGGTAATCAAGCACACTGTATGTGTGCAACCAAAGTGTTCACACCCACAAACCACATATCAGATATTTTTTTTATCTCAGAAGAAAGAGCTGGCCTCTAATATGAGTCTCAGCTGGGTTTGCAGTGTTGGTGGGCAGCCATGTCAAACATGGTTTTCATGGCTGTGCTCCAAAACTTGCCCAGGAACACCAAGTTCTGCAAGCCCGGGAGCAGCTTAGGCTCCCAGATCGTCCCAGTCACCCAGCACCTCCTGCAGCCCTTTGCACTGGCACAAGGGACAGGACAACCCCCTTCCTTTGTGCCCCTCTTCCACCACCTTGCCCTTCCATGCCAGGCAACGCTGGGTGGATGATGAAGCACCAGCCGTGCTGTGCCCCCGCAGCCTCCTTCATGTCGGGGCACTGCACAAGCAAATGCACACAGTGTCTGCACATCCAGTGCAAAATGGGTGAATTGGGGTAGGACCATTCCTGTGTTCCTTTTGGACTCCAGTCCAGCAAGGGCTTCCAACAAACTGAGGTGTGTCCTGCCTGCTCTCCTGCCCAAGTTCAGATTGCAGTGGCTGGTTCTGGCTCCCAAGAGCTGTTGGCATTTCCAGGCATTTCTCTCCCTCCTAATCCTCTCAGCACATTTCACTCCTTTAAGGCTTCACATGAGGTTTATATTTTCTCAGTCTCTACTTTTAAAGTGTTATTAATTCATGATGAACCTTCCTTCAGCAGGAGACAACATGGTCTCTCAGTTCAGTTCAGTTAACAAAAGGTTAAGTCCCAGACAACGAAAAAACCCCAAACTGTCTTTTTGTGAGCCACCACTGTGCACTAAATCTTTGTTAGAGCTTAATTTCTAGCCAGCCTTGGCACCTGTGGTTTGGCTGCCCTGTCCTCACACACACAGCCAGTCAGGAGGTAGACTTTCCATACCAAAGGAAAAATCCACCTCCTTCTTTACCCTGCTTCTTTTTTTTTTTTTTTTATTTATTATTACTCTTTTTGTTTGTTTGTTTTAGTTGTTGCTTTTTGTTGTTGGTATTGTTTTCAGTTTCCATTACACTTGGAAAAAGAAATCGGACTTACTCACACAGCAAAATTGCTCTAGACAATGTATTTGGAAACACCGAAGCCTTCCACTAATACAGTGCTTTTAATTTGTTTGTATGAGTGACCAAAGCATTACAACATACATGATTGCCTGTGAGCTATGTATGATCAGTGTCAGTATTGTTCTTGCATCAGCAAGAGAAAAAAATCAGAAGGAGACAGAAGTCAGGCAGTAAAGGTGGTGTCACGCTGCTCTCCATCACACCCCAAAAGTTTGGTCTGTGGCATGAAATAAGGAAGCTGGAAAGCACTTCTTCCAATGCTTCTGCACCGGCAGTTTCCCTGAGATGAATGAGCCCCTGCAGGTTTCAGTGCAGTGGTGGTATCTGTCAAAACCGGGCTTTGATGACATTAGCAAAGTGTCATAAGCTACCAGAGTCCTGTGAGGCCTCATGTTATTTTGCATGCATCTCAAGTGCCTGTACGTAAGTGCTTTGGCTGTCGCCCCTCTACCACACATGGTCTTCTGTCTCTCTTTTCCTCTCTCTCACCTGCTTCTGTCAGAGTTCATATTCCTCCCTCTCAGGCCCTGTTCCACCTTCTCACACTTACGAATGCCTCACCTGCCTTTCAGATCTCGAGAATTTTTAGCTTGTATTCGCTTACTCCTTTCCCTGGAAGTCAGCAGCCCACCATTCTCTTTTTACTGATTGCTTCAGCACATCCACATAATCTTCAGTTTCCCTTCTGTATTCAGCCTCCTACAGGCTCTTCCATATATTATAAACTTCTCCAGTCACAGCACTGCATCCATAGTCCTCCACACCTTCACCACTGCTTCCATCTTTCAACCTCTCCTGGTTCTTCATCCCTATGCCTTCCTCAGTGGAAAATTATTCTG